CTGGAGGCTTTATATATCTTGTTAACAAAGTCCTTCGTTCACCTGAAACTGACTTGGAATGATCTCTGGCCTCATCCATGCTAGCCTCCAGTGACCCTCACGAGGACGGCAGCAGAGTCAGTGCCGTCCTACACCACCCCGTACACAGGAGAGTTCTGACCTGAGGCTGACCCCCCTCTTGCTCAGCCTTCCCTGAGCCAACACTGCGTGTCCTCATCACCCCAGCTCTACAGCTAGTCTCAGCAGGAGGAGCAGACTCCCTCTGGCACCACCCAAACAACCCAGTTGATGGCCTTAAATATCCTGTTTGAGACTGTTTCTCTTTCTCATTTTAGAAGCAGCTTGTAAAATTCCAGAGTAAATAAACAGAAAAACAAAAACATTGGTATTTTTATTGGGATTGCATGAAATCTACAAATCAATTTGAGGGAATCAAAATTCTGTGAAATCGACACCCATTAATTCAACTCCATGTATTTAAGCCTTCTTTAATGCCTTTCAATAAAGTCCAGCAATTTTCTGCATAAAGATTTTGTGCAGATTTTATTAGGTTTCTGTCAGGAATGCTGACTGAGTAATCTACCCTCTGCAACCGTGCTCTGGCCAGTCGAATGCTGCAGCACGCTCCAGTCGGTTTTAGACCCCCCACCCCCCGGACATGGCTGACAACTGTGCTCACTCCCTCCTAGCCCTTACACATTTGTTTATTTATTTGTCCTACTCATTCAGTAAGCCCCCACGGGAGACCTACAGAGCAGCAGGTGCTGTGCTACGCATCAGGGAGCTGACGTCCTCATGAGGCAACAGGCAGTCTACTGCTGGTCGGGCCTGAAGCTCAGCCTGGAGGAAGACAGACAGCAGAAAAAGCATGGTGTTTCCTGACTTCGAAAGGAATTCTTTCCAAATTTCACCATGACATAATGTGTGCGTAGGATTCTTTGTAGCTATCCTTTATGAAGTCACTAATTCCTGATTGCTAATAACATTTATCATGACTAAAATTTGAATTTTATTGGAGATCTTTTCTGAATCCATGAGACAATCACATTAATAGTCTCCTTTGATACGTTAATGTGAATTACTGTAATAGCTTTTCCAAGTTGAACCCTGAATTCCTGGAATAAGCCTGACTCATATTTTCTTTTCTGAACACTATTAGATTTAGGCTGCTTACATACTGATTAGGATTTTGCATCTCTCATTAATAAGTAAGTGTGGATTGTGATATTATTTCTTAGATAATGGTATTGAGCTAATATTAGGCATATATAATTAGTTAGGAAATGTTAATTCTTTTTCTAGTCTCTAGAAAAAATTGTCTAAGACCGGAAATAATCATTCCTTGTATTTTAGATAGAAACCTCATGTACAAGACCATCAGAGCAAGGTGTTTTCTTTATGGGAAGATTGTTTTTGGACTCAGTGGCTTTCTTGCTGCGATAAAGGACCACTTAGGGTTTTATCTCATCTCTGTCAGATTTGATCACTTGCACTTTTCTAGTAATTATTCATGTACCTAAGTCTGTAAACACACTAGCAGAAGTGGTTTGGAGCAATCTGGGTGTCTCCCTCCCCTGCGCCTGCAGCCACCACTCACCCCACCTTCCACTTAATGACCTTCTTCTCTTTGGGTGACCAGCCAGAGTATGTCAACTTCTAAGTCTTCCAAGAACACACACTTCACTGAGTCTCTTCTGTGTGTTTCTTTTCTCTTTAATTCTGTGGGGTTTTTGTTGTTGTTGTTCATTTTGCTTTCACTTTTCAGTACAGAGACTTGAACCCAGGGCTTCACGTGTGCTAGACAAGTGCTCTACCACTAAGCTCTACCCCAGCCATGGCCCCTTCTTAATTTCTATTCTTATATTTTCGTGTACTTTATTCAAACTTATTCTGTTCATTTTCTTTTTTTTAGCTGTAGATGGACCAATATCTTTATTTTATTTATTTATTTTTATGTGATCCTGAGGATTAAACCCAGTGCCTCACATGTGCCAGGCAAGTGCTCTACCACTGAGCCACAACCTCAGCCCCTCTGCTCTTCTTTTTCTAACTTATATTAATGTCCAACTCATTAATTAGAATATAAGCATTTAGGAGTTAGAAGTCCTTTCCAAGTACAGTCATTCTCAGTTACTATGGAGATGGGTCTTCGGAGCATCCCAGAGACTCAAGTCCCTTATATAATATGGTACAGTATTTGCATATAACCTATGCACATACCTCTGTATTCTTTAAATCATTTCTAGATGACTTCAAACAACTAAGATAATGAAAATGCTCTGTAAACTGTCACTATACTGCTTTGCTCAGGGAATAATGGCAGGAAGAAAGTTGGCCCATGTTCAGTACAGATGCAATTTTTTTCCAAATATCTTTGATCTGTGGTTGGTTGAATCTGTTGGTTGGAGGTAGGACCCACAGATGCTGAGGACCAACTGTGCTGCCAGGCTGTGTCTCATGAGCTTTACTGTATGGTATTCTCACTGTTTTCTGTCGGATGTATTTCGAATTCACATCATTACTCCATTTTGATCCATGACTCGCTGGGAAGTGTCTTTGCACACTATTGTTGCAGCCACACCCCTCTGATCTCTGCTACTTATGCCACACTGGATCCCCACGCTTTCTCATGCAGAAAGCCTGACTCTGGATGCCCAGGCCCCTGCAGCTGCCAGAACCTTCTCAGCAGACGGAGGCACACAGCTGTATACTCCTGCCTGGCTGGGACAACACTGAAGTGAGGGCCACACTACCTGGGGTCCCATGGAGGAAGGCCAGCACTGTGCCTTGGAATTCCTTGACGCTGCCTTCCTCCCCCTCCTTACCAGGTACTCCTGGGAACAATTCCTAATGAGTTGCATTTGGATTACAGGGTTGAACCTTCTCTGGAAGCAGACTCTCGGGAAGAGCCCCGGGAGTTGCTCACTGGCCAGATTAGCAACAGAACTGTGGACACCTGTCCTTGGACAAACCTGAGTGGGGCACAGAAGATACAGGAAGATGCTGGGAAAGACCTATGTGTAAGACCCAAGTACCACCAGCTGGCTGGCTCCCAGAGAGACAGCACCAGGAGGCTCTGGCACTGCCCATGTCCACAGGCCTGCACTACCTCACTAGGGCCCCACCCAGTGACAGCCTCTGAGAGACTGGTGAGGCAGTGTGGACAAAGAGGTCATCCTGCTTAGGATTACAGGGTCCCAGCAGAGGGAGAGGCTGGTCAAGTGTGGAGAAGACAAACAGATGAGCCCTGAGAGGGGCATGGTGTGCTGGGCACTATACCACACACAGCTGCCCACCAAAGCACAGGCCACTGAAGACCAGTGTTGGACAAGCTGATGTTGGCCAGTCTCTGCCCTCACTAGTCCCAATGCACACACGGTGGATCTCTGAAGGGAGCAGCCATGATGGCCAAGATCCTCTCAGCAGAACTGGGCTAGCCACAGTCAGTGCCCATTGTGCAGCACATTGACAGGGGTCCTCAGGCAGTGCAGAGCCCTTACTGCCCAGGTATCCATCCCTGCTCACCATGAGAGCAGAGAGGCTGCCTAACAGTAGGGGAGGGAAGATCTGTCTGGGAATCAGAAGTTCCCTGGGGCCTTCCTGGATGCTCCTCTGGCCGATCTTAACTATGACTGGACCATTACACAGCCATAGCCAGACAAAGGATGGCAAGCAGGGTCTTGGCTATTCAGAGTCTGGGACCCCTCATCATGCTACCCACCAGAGCAACAGAAGACCAGCTATAGGTCAGGGGCTCTGGAAGTAGTGATGCAGAGATGAAGACATCCCTTCTGCAGAGGTCCACACAGCAGGGAGCCCTACCCAGTCTCCCACAGGCTGTGACTAGCACCATCTCAAGAATGCACAGTACACCCAATGAGCAAGGGTAGAGCAGAGGGGGACCACAGGAGCCTGCTTTCCAACACAATCCTGTGACGATGCAGCCAGTGACTGCCAATGCCAGAGTCTGTGTCACCTGCATGTGGTATTCTTGGGGAGTGGGGGGGGGGTGCCCGAGTATGACACTTAGCCCCATGCAGTTCCTTTTCCCTTCAGGGACCTCTCAAGAGGGGTAACCCCAATCATCTCCCAGAAGATTTGGCTCCAGATGTGGCAACGCTGGTCCTCTTCCTCTTTCCCAGCCATTTTCTCAGCCCCTCTACTGGTTCTTCTTTTAAGAAGTAACTTTTACATGAATCCTCATTTCAGAGTTTGCTCCCAGAGAATTCAATCTGGGGCCAAATCAATGAGATTTTCTGCCATTTTGTTTCCAATAACTCATGACACTATAAAAAATGGTACTTAATGATTCAAGAGTTTGGAATCTGTTGAGGTGAATTTACGTCCCAACACTGATCACTTTTAGATACAATCAGTAAGTGTTTGATAGGAACATCTCCAGGTAGCGACTATGTGCACATATACATATACGTGGCACAAACCTGATTTTTAAATAGAAATTCTTTTTTTTGACAGAATTTTTTAATACTTATTTTTCAGTTTTCGGTGGACACAACATCTTTATTTTTTTTTTATTTTTTATTTTTATATGGTACTGAGGATCAAACCCAGCGCCCCGCGCATGCCAGGCAAGCGCGTTACCGCTTGAGCCACATCACCAGGCCTTAAATATAAATTCTTATTGGATGCGGCTTACATACTTTTGAGACCAAGTTGCTAGATGCAACTAGCAGTAGACACCTACAAACCTAAAGATTCATGTCTTCTTGATCAGGTAATACCATGGAGTTCCAGGTGACCCTCAGGCCACCAACACAGAAGACATCTGGGGCCACTTTCTCCTCCAAGAAAGAACATCTACTGCCACAACACCCAATCCCCAAGGTACTCCTCTGGAAAGGAGCCTCCCCTGCCCCAGGTATCCTGGGGGGTTCAGGAGGGAACAAATACATCAGGACCTGGAGACGCACGAAGGAGAGAACCCTCTAGAAGGAAAGCATGTGAGGGCCCCACTGGTGGAAGCAGGAAATGCCACTTACCGCAATCTCTGTTACCAAAATATCAGTAATACTTCCCAACACAGTGACAAAGTCAAAGACATTCCAGGCATCTCTGAAATAGTTCTAGAGAAAAAGAAGGGCAGTTAGTGCCACTGACTGGCAAGGGCTCCACCGGGCACACTGTCCATGATCAAGAAGCAAGCAAGGGTGACAGATCCCAGGACAAGGCCGGTGACGAGTAGATACCTCCAGCCCGGGCAGATGCAGAATTGAGAGCCATATGTAGAGAGAGGAGGGTCCCAACCCGGCATGCACCCAGGACCAGGACAAGATTCAGGCAGCTGAGAGTGTAGGAGCAGCCCCTTCCCTGGGGCCCCCAAAGAATCACACATGTTCTGGAGACTTGGGGGAATTCCCAGCTCCAAACTGTGAGGCCCAAATGCTGCCTAACAGAGAGGGAGCCACCATGCAGGCCACCAGAAGGCTGGTACCTACCAGCACCCCAAAGGCGATGATCTTCAGCACACACTCCAGGGAGAACATGGAGGTGAACACCATGTTCAGGCACTTCAGCATCAGCTCATACTCATAAGGCGCATCGTAGAACTGCCGGGAATGAGTGCCAGTGGCTGAGGGCTCGGCAGCCACAGGAGGCAGCCAGAACTCCACACCTGCCCACCCCTCCTTGTTTCTCTTGAGTTCTCCCAGAGCCTTCTCACTGTCTTGGCTCCCAGACCACGAAAGGAACAGCATCCCATAGGCACCCTGTGCTGGCCAGGACAGAGGCAGCTGCAGCTCCGGCATGTGCCAAAAGGAAGCAGATCCACTCCCACCCAGGCTCAAGCTGGGCACTGACCCCCTCCTCTGCATGGGGCTTCGTACCTTCATCATCAGCACTACTGTGTTGAGGGCTATCATGGCCATGATGAAGTACTCGAAGGGGGGGGAGACCACAAACGTCCACGTCTTATACTGGAACGACTGCTTGTTTTGGGGCATATACCGTGTCAGGGGCTTGGCGCTGATGGCAAAGTCAATGCAGGCCCTCTGTGTGGAGAGAAGGGCAGCTTGAGCCCAGGCGGAGCCCAACCCATCAGCACCTCCCACAGCAGCACCTGCTACAAAGTACTACTACAAACAATAACACTGAAAGAGCAGGCAGCAGAGGCAGCCCGGGGCCTCCTCCAATAGGCCCCAACTGCCCAGACATGGTCTCCCATTACAGGAAGAAGGAGGCCTGCCCACACTGTCCATGAGTGATGTACGTGCAGAAGGAAAGCCTGGTGTTCTGCCCACACTGCCCCTCACAGAAGGTGCCAAGGCATCACCTACCTCATTCTTCTCCAGGCTGCATTCAGACATCACCTTGTCCCCCTGCTCCTGGAAGGTGATGATGATCAAGGCCACAAAGATGTTGACAAAAAAGAAGGGGAAGACCACAAAGTAGACCACATAGAAGATGGATAGCTCCATGCGAAACCCAGGGCTTGGACCCTGCTCTTCATAGGTGGCATCCACGGAGTGTTTCAGCACCCTGGTTGAGGGGAGGGCAGTGTCAAGGGAGCTTCCTGGGAAGCTCAGGGCACCGCAGGACGGGTCAGGTTGGCACCCTGAGGCTGGACGGGCACTCACATGGGCCACCCTTCTCCGGTGGACACCGTGAAGAGTGTGAGCAGGGCCCAGAGCACGTTGTCATAGTGGAAGTCGTATTTCTTCCACTGCCTTGGTTGAGCTTCCACTTCCTCCTTTTCATAATCCAAATACTGACCCCTGCAGGCAGGAGCACACATAAGAGCACAGTTAAACCTAAGGGACCCAAACAAACCTATGTGTCCATGGTCAGCTGGCATTTGGAGAGGGTACTAAGTACACTCCACATGGAAGGAGCAGGCCCCTCCACAGTCAGTGCTGTAGAACTGCATTCCACTCAGGGCTGAGAAAAGCAGACTCAAGCTCCTATCTCAGTCCACACATAGAAAGTAACTCAAGATCAAAGTCCTAAACGTAAGTGCTAAGACCACAAAACTTAGAAGAAAACGGACAAATCTCTATGACTTCGTATTTAGGAATGGAGTCTTAGATATGGAACCGAAATCATGCGCAAGAAAAGAAAAAAAGACGGTAAATTGAACTTCATCAAAATTTAAAACTCTGTACCTCAAAGGACACCATCAAGAAAGTGGAAAGATGATCCATGAAAGTGGGAAGAGTATTTATTAATCATCTACAGATCAGGGGTTGGTACCCAGAAAATATAAAGTACTACTACAAACAATAAGAAAGACAACCCAATTTTTAAAATGGGTCAAGTATCCAAACCGTCGTTTCTCCTAAGAAGACATACAAAGGGCCGACAGGCACTTGAACAGATGCTCAACAGCAGCAGCCATTGAGGGAAAGAACATCAAAACTCTCCTGAGACATCAGTCCACTTCGTGAACAGGAACATGATGAAAACAAAAGACAAAGGAAGGAAAATAAGAAGTGTTGATGAGGACCTGGAGAAAGCAAAACCCTGGCAGCAATTCAGATGGGAATGGAAAATGACTCAGCCACCCTAGAAACAGCCTGGCATCTCCTCAGACAGCTCAACACAGCTCCCAGACACCATCAGGCCCACTCCTGGCCTACCATCAGCAGGCCCATGAACAGATACCCCATGGCACAGCAGGGAACAGAGAAGGCACTGACCACCACAGCACAGAGGGACACCAAGGCCCCATTCACTGTGCTGAGGCCAGTCCCGGAGGGCTGCATAGTGTCTGCCTCCACACGTGGAATGTCCACAGCAGGGCAATCCAGACATGGAACACCAGCTCAGAGCTACATAGGGCTAGGGACAGGGACAGAGAGGACAGCTAAAAGGTACAGGTTTGGTTGGATTTCATTCTGTTTGGTTTGGGGTTTGGGGTTTTTTTAAGGCGATAAAAATGTGTGTCTGTGAATATAACAAGAGTCACTGAGTTGTACACACTAAATGGGATTATGTGAATAAGCTTCATGGCATGTGAACTATAAAAACAAAGAATCCCAATGCAGTAGGTAAAGGATGATCTTGCCCAATCAGTGGTGTTGGGAAATGGACACTCACCTTCAGGAAGTCCATCTTTTGCCCTGCCTCACACACACTCAACTCCAGTAGGCTGCAAATCTCAACATGAGAGGCAAAGGCAACACTGTCAGGAAAAAACACCCCTGACTGCAGGACATGGAGGCGTAAACATGAGAAAATAAAAAAGTTAAGTTGCACTATGTTAAAATCAAAAACTTGTTCTTTAAAAGGCACCACTGAAAGAGCAGCAAGCACTCTACAAAGGAGGGATATCAGTAAAGGCCTACCCAGGAATAAGAGCACTCCTGCAAATCCACCCAGAGAGAGAGACAACCACACACGAACACGCAACAACTTGGATGGACACTGCCCAGGAAGGGCGGCTATGCAGCCAAACTACCCAGGGGAGGGGGCTCAACCTTGCTGGTAGCACATGTGCAAATCAAACCACAGAGCCCAGGAAGGCTGGAGAGCTAGACAGGGACACAGGGCACACTGGAAGATGTGGGGTATCGCGAGCTCCCGTTCACACTGAAGAGGTGTCACTGCACAAGCATGTGGCAGCATCAGTGACATGTGCATAGCCTGCGACCCCTTCTAGATAGACAGCACCCAGATGGGACGTGCGCATGGATGCTCACAGCAGCATTGCTCGTGACAGCCCCCCGGAGATCTGTCAAGAGCCTTCACCACAGAGTGGATGAGTGAGCAGGGAGACATCCACACAGCCAGAGACAATTGGGACCTCTGCTGCACAGGTGGGAAGGAGCTGCCAGCACAGTCTTGTTTAGGTGCACATAGTCACCCTTCCACTCCCTGGCTCCTCCCTGAGGGCACCTCTCCTGTCTGTCTTGAAAGTACGGCCAGGCCCAGGAAGATCTGAGAAACCCCGTGGACAGTGAAAGCAACACCAGCCATGGCCAAGCCCTCTGATTTTCATGGTCCAACCTAGACCTCCGGCAAGATTTAGAGGGCCCTGACATACCTTGATGGCCAAGGTGTGTGCAGGATAGGCGGCTCCTTGGACAGCTGCTGGCAGGAAGAAGTACTCTGAGCACAGCTGGTCCCTGACCCCTCAGAGGAGGGGATGGGGCACACTACCCCCTCTTGTGCATGGCATCAGCACATCCCAGGCAAGCCCTCCAGCCCTTGCCCAGTGTCCCCACTTTGTAAATAAGTCTCCTGAGCCATGTGACCAGCCCCACACGATCCTGAGGGAACACCAGGGGTTCTCTGCAATCTGGGGCTGAGGGCTTTGCACCCTGCCTCAGTTTACCTGCAGTCCCTCTCCAGCTCCTTGGATTCATCAGTGCAGTAGAAAAACTTCCCTTTGAAGAGCTGTACTGCAATGACGGCAAATATGAACATGAAGAGCATGTAGACGATCAGGATGTTCAGCACATTCTTCAGGGAGTTCACCACACAGTCAAACACAGCCTGCAGGGAGGAGGGACACAGCCGTGAGGGACAGGTGGGGGCCAGAGGAAAGGCCCCGCCACGTGAGAAGGTAGAGCTGGGATGAAGGGGTGGGACCACAAGGGAAGGAGGAGCCCTGAGGGAGGGCAGGGCTATGGTGGAGGTGGAGCCATGGGAAGGGCAGGGTCACTAGGGAGGGTGGGTCCACAAGGGAGGCAGGGAGATGGGGAGTCAAGGGGAGACACAGGGGCAGGAAAGGGGACCAGAAGAGAGGACAGGGCAGGGCAGGCTACAGGCTCAGAACCTCAGGACCACTGAGACCCAGACACCATGGGCATTCCAGGACCCTGAAAGGCCCTCAGGCTCCTGCCCATGTAAGGCCACCACCCGGCGACTTGACAGGAAGTTGACTTGTGCTGTCTCTCTCTCATGAGGGGAGCCATACAGAACTTATGAGAGTGGGCAGGAGGTGCTAGAAGGGGCAGATGAATGCCCAGAAGAACTTGCTTTACAGTTGGGAGTTGGGCCCCAGAGGGGCAGGGCCTACTCGGAGGGGATGTGGACGCCTCCTGCCCTTCCCCTGGTCTTGCTCCTACTCATGAACAACAGAGATGTGGGGCAGACTGAGGATGAGGCAGCAGAGTGCTGTGGCTCCAAGGACTACAGGACAGGGACTCTGGGCACATTCTGGGCCCCTGAGGGGACTCTCTGGTCGGTGACTGAGCGCCACCCATCAGGCCTGCTCTCAGGTTCTGGACCCTGCACACCCAGTGCTGCTCTCAGAGCTGAGGCAGCACCTCTCGGGGTGTCCCGCTACAAACGTCCACATAGGTCTGGGCCCCTGAAGCCACTGTGCTGTGTGCAGCACCCCTCCTGTGCAGCACCAGGTGTAACTCCTGCCAGGATTGAGGGCCTCTGCGTACCCTCCTAGGCCACGTCAGATTCCAAGCAAATGCTCTCTGCAGTTCCACGTGGCCTCACGAGAATGCCCGGTACAAAGTCAGGGGTGCTACTCTGTGCCTGGTGCAGGCCCTGCGATCACTAGACTGCGTCGATTCTCTTCTTTATGCAGAACTTCAGTTGTGTCCACCCTCCAGGGCCCAGTCCCACAGTCACTTTCTGGAGCCTCCGACTGCCAGCAACGCCCCTCACATAACACATCCCCCTCAGCAGCCCCTTCCTTCCTGTCCTGCACGGCTGAGGAAAATACCATCTCTCATCTGGCACTGCTGGGATAAGAAAGAGGGGTCTACAGGAGTCTGTTGGGAATGAGCTCTCCTTAGGCAGGTGCTTAGAGCTGAACAAGTCCATCCTCACGCATGTACATGTTCACACACACTCTTGTACCACCTGCACACACATGCATGCACATGCGGACGCACAGCATGCCCCTCAAGCCCCAACTCCAGGCTCCAACCTTGAGCTTAGGCAGTCGTTTGATGGTCTTGAGGGGCCGCAGGACGCGAAGAACTCTCAGGGACTTGATGGTGTTGATGTCTTTCCCTTTGGATCCTCTAGAAGGGAGAAGCCGCTAATGCAGATAGGCAGAACATGTGGGTATGCCTGGCCCCGCACAGCCCATGGGGTCTGGCTCTCAATGCCCTGAGCATTTTGTCTGGAGACTGCAGGGTACAGCACCCAGAGCAGAAAGGTCTCTTTCTGTAGCTGCTTTATCCGAGAACAGGGGCCAGACGAGGGCCAGGTCAGCACAACTAGTACACAGGGACAGTTGAGCTTACAGTTGGAAGAACCCATTCTTGCAGACCACAGTGGCTATTTCCATCTCTCCAGTGCTCCCAACACCCACCCCTAAATCAGCTTCCAGCAACAAAGAGGACTGAGGGGGCTGGTGTGTGCCTGCAGACCAGGAGTGAGGGCAGCGAGCATGCCTGTGGTGCTAGAACCTTCTCCCAGCACTGCAGGAGTCATGAGCCCGCTTTTCACTCCACAATAGCAGGAGTAAAGGGATTTGTCTGGCCTCTGCCCTATAGACCTCTGCCTATCCTCAGCTGTCCAATGCTCCTCCAGGTGACAAGAAAGCAAAAGGAAGAGGGAAGAGGGAGGTGGAGGAAAAGAGTAAGAAAGAGACAGTTACAAAATTAGACAGAGCAATAACAGAAGCAGGAAGCAGGAACAGGGAGAGACAGAAAGACACGCAGGCATAGGAAGCTACAGAGACACTAAGGTCATCAAGAAAACAGCAGACAGAAAAACTCAGATGAAGGATGGGGAGACAGGAATTCATACGGGAAAATTCAAGGCACCAGAAGCAAGCTATGGAGCCAGGGGTCAGCGGACCCAGATGGGGACCCTCATGGAAGAAGCCAGAGCAGACCCAGATGGCTTTCTCTGCTGTCAGGGATCCAGGAAGTGGCAGCCTGACTGGAGATGTGAGGGGTGATGGCCCTGCCCCTGCCCCTTACCCCCAGTAGGCCGGCAGTGAAAGAAGGCACCCTGCTGAAGAGCTCATGCTCAGAGGCAGAGTGCGCAGCAGCCACTCACAGGGACCCTGCTCCAGCCTACTCTGAGGCCCTTTCCCACCAAGATCCCTGGGGCCTGGCCCCGTGACTGCCCTTGGGTTCCAGCAAAGCTCTGGACGGAGTGGGGAGCAGGCTGTACAGCCCAGGCCTTTCTGATGGGGAAAGGAGAACCTGGGCCCAGCCGCACATTCCAGAATCAGATGGAACTGTTTCTGAAACACTGGGTTTGGCCACTTCTCACCCAGCGCTGCCTGAACACACACTCCCACCCAGCTCACCCCAGGAAAAGAGGGGAACAAAGGGGCCTGCGCCAGGCTCACAGAGCCAGGCCAGGACAGAGGCTTGCTGGGAAGAGCTCTCCAAAACAGGCTACCCTTGGGGCTCAGGGCCTCTCAAGGCCACAGGGCTGGGTCCCATCCCACTCCTGCTCCTAACTGGGCCTTCTCTGACACTCCTGCTGCAGTTCTTGTCCCAAGGGCCCTCACTGATATGCTGGCAAAATCCTCACTTCCTTCGCCACAGAAAGAGATTTACTGGCACACCCAGAGGGGACACCAGGAGCTTCAGGGGGCTGGCCAGGGGAGGAAAGAGGACAGAAAGCCACATTTCCAGAGGAGTCCCAGGGGAAAGCGCCTCAGCACGTCCAGCTTCCTGGGCCATGGGCACAGTTGGCAGTACCACTCAGGGCCCTCATTGCCCTCCAAGCCGAAGTTTGAGCCTCCATCACTCACACCCTGCTCACCAAGGGCAGTGTCAAGCCCAGCCAGCCCCAGCTCCCACCCCAGCTCCCACCCAGTCCCCAGAGGCATGGCAGGAAAGGTGGCCTGGGGATGGCTCCTGGCAGCATGCAGCCCAGATGGGGTGGAGACGAATGGGTGAGAGTGAGGCCAGTGGAGGCTGTGGGTGTGCCATGATGTTGGGCAGTAAGGGGCGGGGGGAGGCATTACCCCATGAAGCTCCTACCGGAGTCCAGCGACAGGAAGACAAAGAGAGCAGAGTCAGTGCTAAGGGAGGCAGAGTTGGGGCCTCTGTCAGCGTATCCCACCCCAGGGGCAGGGAAGATGAAGAAACTTCTCTCGGTGTCTGGTGTCTACTGGGGTTTTCCTTGTGTCTGGATAGCACCCCACAACTTCCCTCATGCCTCCTGCCCAAGCACCCCACTCCCTCACAGGGCCTGAGGATCAAAAGGAACACTCTCACCCCCACAGGAAAGGGGTCCACCAGCTCTCACTGGGGCAGAAAACACAGGTCAGGTACTGACCTCCAAGCAGGTAAATGTACTCCAAAGGACCCCGCAAGGCAGAGGCCAAAAAGCCAGAGAGGCTGCGCATCCCATCCCAGAACCAGAGGCTGTGCTGGGAACAGATGGGCCATGGATCCTCCTAACCTACACGGTCCAGTCCCAGCAGGCAGGGACAGTCCCCCCCTGGGCAGTCACAGAGCCACATCTAGGGAGACCATCAGTGTTCCTTTCCCTCTCTCCCACACCCCCACACCCCAGTGTGGTCCTGGGATCGCACCCACAGGATCCAGAGTAGATGTGATTACTTACGAGAAGGCAAATGCCACCAGGGCCCCACTGACCACAATGAAATCCAAAATGTTCCACAGGTCCCGAAAGTAGGCTCCAGGGTGCAGCAGCAGTCCTAAGTCAATCATCTACAAGGAAAAACACACATTAGGGAACAGTATATTCCAGAAAGAGAGGCAGAGCCAGGCTCCAGCCATGGCGCAAGGCAGGGTCTAGGCACACCCTTCCAGCAGGGAGCTCAGTGCACAAGCACGCACACCTAAGACTTCCATGCAGCTCTATACCCCTTCCCACACTCTTGTAGGTCACAGCCTCTGATGGCCTCAAAGAAGCCTCGACCCAGCTACTCCACAAGGTGCATGACTGCTTGGTGCCCAACTTCCTGGCTCCCCATGAGTTGGTGAAGTCTCTGTCTCCATTCAGTCCTCCACTGCTGGGGACAGGCACACACTCGGCTCCAGCTCCAAGGGGCTCACACCTTACCCAGACCTAGGAGGGTCAGGTCAGGGCAGTGGGAAGAACTACTGGTCAGAATTCCAAGGACTTTCATTCTCATGCTGGCTCTGCTACACGTAGTACTGTGATTCTGACAGGTACTGTGACTCAGCCTCAGCTTCATCGTCTGTGAGTTCTGTGTCAGTATGTGACTTTGCACGTACACAGAATAGCAGAGGTAACATGTTTGGGCACCCTTGTGAGTGCTCCGCACATGGAACCACCCCAAGTACACTGCACACTGCCACAACTTAGGCTACACTGAAGTCACAGATGTTCAGCTGGACACACATCTATGCAAACGTACCTCAGGACACCCTTGCCAAATGTGAACAGGGGCCCTGCAGAGGAAGATGAGGTTGCAATGACACAGTGAACTTAATCTGTCATCAAACCCTGGATTCCTGATGCATGTAGTCTTCAGCCTTCAAAGACAACAGTCCTCCAGCCAAGTCCTCTCTCCCCAAGATCCCTGTGTCCCCTGCCCCCACTCCCTTTGCAGCTGCCAGGCAATCCTAGAGGAAGGACTGAGTCCACACACACAATTTAAAGGAAGCCCATAACCTGTGTTCCAGAGTCAAGTGCAGGGAGACAGGGTGCCTCTGGGAGTACGCCCAGGGTTGGTGTGATGCGGAGAGCCCTCTGTGAGGGGCAGCACGTCGCACACACATAGCACACCTTCACGTCTGCACACGCGCACATTCGCTCCCTGAGCACATGGCCAGTATACGCTCCACGCACCTTTGTGCAAGGCCACAGGAGCCACATCTCACCTTCATCACCATCTCAAAGGTGAAGACACCTGTGAAGATGTAATCCATGTACTTCAGAGCCTAGAACCAGAAGCAGGGATTCTCTCAGGGCTTCGGCCAGGAGCCAGAGACAGGCCCATGAGCTCCAGGTCCCCCCACCAGGCCTCTGAGCAGATGACAACAGTCTGTGGGGTCTCTGAGACAAGCGTCCCTCTGAAAACAGCCCCCCACCACAAATTAAAACCCCAGCTCTGCCCCAGGACGTCTGTAACGGGGGCTGGAGGAAGTGGCCTCCTCAGATATTTGGTTCCACTACCCACAGGAAGGACAAACAGAGTGGTTCAGGGTGGTGTGTCATGTAAGAAGACAGGCCCTGCACGCCCCCATCCCTGGGCACCCCGCAGCCTGATGGGGCCACCAACCCTGCCACTCACATTGTTCCTGGAAGAGTCTGTCCGCACAGGATCCTCAGCAGCCAAGGCGATGCTGCTCAGGGCAATGACCACAAGAATGACCATTTCAAAGTACCGCATAGTGACAATGTAATGGCAGAAGCGGCGAAGCCTGTGAAGATAGGCAGAGATGGGACAGGGCCCATGAGCTGGGGTAGGTGCCGGGGCAGGTGCTGGCCTCCCCAACAGGAAGGACTCACGCTGGCCAACATAAAAAGGCTGGCACCAGAGTGGAGTTTTACCCAGTGTCTCCATGGCCAGGGGACAATGGCCAGGTGACTGGTAGTGACTAGAATTCCTGACAGGGGTCCCAGGTTCAGAAGTCAGAAATCTACATCAGGGTCAGCACATGACAGCTCCTGGCCAGACAAGGTCAGTCCTACTGTGTGAAAAACATTCTTTGCGAGTGTACCTGCATTCATTTACCTGCTTTCTGTGGCACCCCCAAGCCCAACAACATGGACACCTGGCCCTGTGCAGAACCAGGAGCTACAGGTAGAGTGGAGGGAGAGGTTCAGGAACTGTACAGCATTCCTGCACAGAGCAGCCCTCTCCTGCGCTGGAAGCATGTCCTGGCCCTCACTGGCTTCTGCGGGGTTCTACCTTCACTCCCACTCTCCACTCTGCCCAGAGCACTCTCCCTCCCCTTCCTCAAGCCTGCGCTTCCGCTTGAGCCCCCACTGACCTTTCCCAACCCCACGCCATGTTTCTTCCTAGCACTTATCACGGTGGCATCTAGTGACCCCCTGACTTATCCCGTGGGTCATCTGCCTCTCCCATTCCCATGCACCTGGTAAGGACAGGTGCTCTTGTCTGTCTTGGTGACTGACGTATATTCCCAACACGGAAGATGCTGTTCACACATAAATGTCAGCTGGATTAACGAATCACTGAACTGAGAAGTGGAGGATGAATCCATGACAGATCAGCACAGGAGGGAACACATGCTCGAAATGGGAACATGCACTGCACACGCATGCATGGGCAACAGCATGATGGAAAGGCAGGGTGGGCACGCATGATGGATGTAGAGTCCCTGTGTGCAGCCATGAGCCATACCACGGGCAGGGGCAGGGACCCATTAAGAGGCCAGGCTGCATCTGTCTTTTGGGCGTTCCATCTACAAAATGAGGTGATGGGGTGTGCATCAGGGGATCGCTGACTGACGCCATTCACATGGACAAAGTGCACAGAATCAGCCCCTCGTGGTGCCATTCCACACATATTGGCTGCTGAGCTCACACAGGTCATGGCAATGAAGGGCCGGACCAGCACACACACACAGGAGCGAGAGACTCACAGGTTAGTGGGGCTTAGACAGAACATGGAGCTGTACGGGACGATGGGCCGGGGGCCACTCCTCAGCACATCATCAGCTTCTGCCTCCTTCTTCCCCTCTCCTTGGCTCTCCAGGTCCATGTTACCACCTGTGAGGACATAGGGCCTCTAGGTTAGGGGTGCGGTGCACATAGAGCCCACATATGGACCCCCTGGGGAAGGGCATGTGGTTGACAATACCGCTGCCCAGGCAGAGCAGGATCACTCCTGGCAGGGCCAGCACTTTCCAGAGCTGGAGGCATAGGCCATCTGCCTCAGACTCCAACAGGCCTCTGCCCACCTCCTGCTTGGCTATTGTAAGGGAGGAGCACCAAGCTAGGTACTGTGCCCTCAGGGGACACCAAGGCCTCCAGTATTGCTCAGTGCCAGCACCTGGGAGCCCGTCTCTCCACCTGGGGATCTCAGAGCTACAAGATGGCAGAACAGAGCCGGCCCGGGGCTCACTGGCCCACAGTGCTCCCTGCATCCTGCCATCAGCCTGGCTTGGCGTGGAGAAGGGCCATGCTACTCCAGGGCATCCAGGAAGATGGTTGCCCAGGCAAGTTCTCCTGGCCCCCTGCATGCAGTTCTTTCTCCTGGACTCACACTGCATTCCTGCTCATCATGGCCCCTCTGCTGGGGCCCCTCTGCTCTCCTCCCCACAACTATCACTTTTGCTCCCACAGATTAAACTCCCTTAGTAAAATTGCTGTGGGCTTCCTTCATTTTAGGTAGATCATGCAAATTTCCCTCAATGAATCTTTTTCCTTTTTTTTTTTTTTCCTTCTTCCAGTACTGGGGATTAAACCCAGGAGTACTCTACCACTAAACCCTGTCCCCAGCCCTTTTTAGGTTTTATTTTGCAATAGGGTCTTACTAAGTTGGTGAGACTGGCCTTGAGCTTGTGATCCCCCTGCTTAAGCCTCCCAAGTCACTGGGAGTATAGACATGTACCACCACACCTGGCAACAGGTCTGCGTCTTTAACTGTGACGATGAGCATTTCAGTTCTTATGGCTGACAGGGTCCCTGAGACCTCAGAGCACTGAGGGGGACAGTACAGTGACCTGAGCACCCCCCACACACACACTGCTGCATTTTACATCCACTTCTTTAAGGAAACAAAGGCAAAGAGGATGTCAAAGAGCGACCAAAACAAAGGAGCTGATTCCCAGGGCCTGCTGAGGCCAGCCTCTCCCAGCTTCTCCCCCATTGCCGGCCACTCTGTGGTCCTGTTCGGAACCACTGAGCAGAGGAAACGGCTGTACTAACATTGAGAATGGGGAAAAGCACAGCTGCCACTTCAGAGCTGAGATGACCTTCTGCAAGCACTTTCAGTGTAGCCGCTTTTGAAACTGACACTATCCAGTTTCCCTAATGAAAATGTAAATTATATTGGGGCTGGGGTTGTGGCTCAGTGACTCAGTGGTAGAGCACTCATCTAACAAGTGTGTGGCCCTGGTTCAATCCTCAGCACCACATAAAAAAATAAATAAAATGAAGGTACTGTGTTCAACTACTTCTAAAAAATAAATATTTTTTAAAAAATAAAATGCAAATTATATAATATTCTGATAAAGTAACAGGCAATGCTTACTTAAAACAGTAAACAATTCTATTAATTCATAAGACATTATCTCCAAAGGAAATCAAGCATGCACAAAAAATCTGTACTCATAGAAGTCTTTGTTATAAGTTATTTTAAAGTTAAAATTATAAAATGAGCAACTTCTATCAGTCAAGTAAATATTCAATATTTATATGAAGTACCATGTGATGAATACTTAAAATGTCTAGAAGAGTTTAAATAACATAAGAAGAGACATATGATAAGGTAAATTAAAAAGCAGTGGAGAGCCAGGTGCAGTGGCATGGCTGTGATCCCAGGTAGGGAGGCTGACTGACACAGGAGGATTGCAACTTTGCAAAAAAAAAAAAAAAAAAAAATTGTGGATATGACTCAGTGATAGAGTGCCATGGCTTTAATCTCCAGTGTTGAAAAAGAGAGAGAGAGAGAGAGAAACACAGCCCCACACCTGGTGTTCCAAACGAGCCTGACAGCAGGAGAAACAGGGCTTGTCACATGAGCACATATTAGTTTTAAAGTAACAAACATTTATTATTAAACACCACACCTCTTCAAACTCTTCCCCAATAACAATAAAACAAACCCAAAGGTAAGTAAACTGGAGGAGAGAACCAATCTGGACTCAGTGAAGAATTTTGTGGCTCAGAAGGAAGGGAAGAAAGACGCCAGGGCCAGAACTAAACAACTTCTCCCAGAACAGACTTGCTATAATAGAATGTGAGGGAAGCTGCCCATGAAGTCTAAGCAGAAAGGAAAAAAGATAAAGGGGGCAGGGCTGGGGTCAGCGGCACAGCGCTTTCCTCACATGTGTGAGGCCCTGGGTTCCATCCTCGGCACCACACAGAAATGAACAAATAAAATAAAGTCATGCTGTCCATATATGGCTACAAAAACAATTTCTTTAATAAAAAATTTTTTAAAAAGAGTAAAAATGAAAATTGCTACAGACTGAATAAATTCCTTGTTAAAAGCGGGTTATTAAAAAGACTCAGCAGTAACAAAACTCCAATCACTAGAGTTGCATAACTTGAGGAAGGAGGATGCCTGAGAGATTGTCTTGGGAAAAGTGCCACCAGTGCTGTGTGGGAGCCCTGACCATGGCCCTCACTGCAAGGCAGGAAGGGGAATGGGCCTCCTGTGTCAAACTGCAGCCCCAAAAGAGGCCGATGTGAGCATGCTTGAACTCCCCTGGCTTCTGGGCAAAGCATGCATTAATCCTCCTGACAAAGACATTCCTCATTTGGCCCACAGAATCCCACAGACTAGGAGAATCTGGAGAGAATTCAAGTCCAACTTTCCCGAGACTTCTGTGACAGAAAGAATTTCTCTCATTCACATCTGGAATGGCACTAGCTAGACACCCTTCTTGGAAGGCTAAAATATAGGCAACCAATTCATTTTCTATAAGGCTTAATTATCTCACAAAGCCCCAAGAGAGAAAGGGATGATGGAGAGTAGTCACAAATGAATATGAAATAGAGATACCACCAAACACACAAGGGATCAAGGCTACTGTCACTGGAAAACAGCAGAAATGACAAGTAATTGCTTTGTGCTCCTGTTGACTTCAAATACAGAAAGTTTTAGATGAGAAATAAAAAATATGTAAGAAGTAAAAATGAACCTTGAAAAACGGACAAGCAATAAAAGTCTACAAAGCTGACCCAACACTACCGTGACCTATGGCAGAGCAGCTTAAAGTGGACTAACCTTCCACTGAAAGCCACCGTCACAGCAGAAGAAAACACATAACCTGCTTGTCTAAGGCACTGAGGTCAGCCAACACAGAACCCAGGGGGCAGCTGTCCACAGGAAGACAAGCAAGCAAGCCCTCACACACACACTCAGATTTTCCCAGAGATTGCTTTCCTACTTGTTGTACCTGGAACAGAATTCAAGCAAAGGCAACCTTTCACTGGGACAAGGTGGCAAAGACTAGAGTTTGAAGGTGACGGTGACTGAGTCCTGAGGAGCAAGACCTGAGGACAGGGTTATAGAGAGTAAGCCCCTCGGTGAGCACGCATGTCCTCCTAGCATAGGAGAAGGCCAGGCTCCCCGGAAAGCAGCCACCCCAGGTCCAATACCTCAACAGAGAGCACAATTTGAGCTGCAAAGGACTGGCTTTTGAACACTGGGTGCTGATGCCAGTGGATATTAGGCTCTGGTAAATTTTTATTAGGATTGTTTTGCTTCTGTTTGAGTTCTGGCTGCAGAGTTACACAGACCCTCTCTTCCCCCACAGGCCTGATATTTTCAGTGATTGTGTTTTCTGGAATGCACACATGTGTTGAAGCAGGAATGTCCGTCCTTCATAAAGAAACCATCCCAAGGAGTGTGTAACACAAGAATGAGAGGGCCCAACACTGAGAAGTCAACAAAATGGAGGATGTGCATAAACATCACTATAAGGTCAAAACAATGATTGTGACTTTGTGGGATTGTACTTTAAGGACTAACATGCTGGACAGCAATAAGGAGGAAGGTGGCACAACATGACCAGACCCACTGCTCTGAGCCTTGTGCTGCTGGAAGGGGAGGTCAGGTCAGGAGCAGTGGGGTGGGCACACTTCATGGAATCACCAAGGAACACCAACAGGCAGAAACAAAATCTACAGTTGTTAAACTAGCAGAGGCAAAAATGTGACATTTAAGCAAACAAGCAATTAAAACCATTACTCAATATGAAAGAGGGAAAAGGAGGGGAAAATAGAACAAATGTTACGAGCTCAGATGGATGAAGCAAATATCAGTGAATTAACAGCCAAAATTAACACAAGCAGACTAAACTTGGCAGTGAAAAGACAGATGATCCAGTCAGATCCCTTTAAAGTACAGTTGTTTGGCACGACCAAAAGACAACTCTAAGTAAAGCACACGTAAAGGTCTGAAGACAGAAGAAGCTACGCCTGCCCAATGTTCACACAAAAGACACAAAGCAAGAAAGTTGCATTCTCAGGAGAAAGCTGCACTTCAAAACAAAACCACTGCTAGAGATAAACAGGATTATGACTTGAATATTTTAATAGGAAGCCTTTTTTTAAGCAGAAATAAAAGAAAAACCCTCACAAATAAATCCAGAAACAGTTACTATCTTAGAAATGTAACAGTTGCTTAGCAACCTATCAGATAGTTCTGTATTTTGCTTTACATTTCAAACTATTCAAAACAACTATATTAAAAGGTAACTATACAGAACTGGGATGTGGCTCAGTGGTAGAGTGCTTGCCTAGTGTGCATGAGGCCCTGGGTTTGATCCCCAGCACCACAAGGCAAAAAAAAAAAAAAAAGTAAATATAGAATGTGAACTCTAACAGGTCCACAGAGAGAAAGACATTTCAATACACCTTTCTCAATTATTGATAAAGCCAATCAGGCAAAATATTAGTGAATACATGCAGTATTTAAGTAACACAATTAACAACTTGATTTAGTAGATACATATAAAAAGCCTAGGGATCCTAAAATTTGAAAAAAAAACATGTTCCTTTTAAGCATATATAAAACATTTACAAAAGATAACCAT